AACATGTTTTAAGATGGTCCAAAACACACACAACATCAATACAATACCGCTACATATTTTTTAATCAAAACCAAAATCCAGACAGGAAAACGCACGAAGAATAAGACCCATCTTGATGAAATCGCAACTGACTTGCATCGCAACATTAATATTTCTAACCTTCTATTATCAATCTCTCTCTCTCTCTCTCTCTCGTGTTTGTTTGCTCGTCAGGTTTGTTTTATGTTTCGATTTCGGTTCATATTTTTCACTCCAAATCTCTATCTCTCTTCATCTCTCTTTGATGTTTTGTTTTGGGTTGATTATGGGTTTAATTTGATTTGAAGGCGAGTCATTGTTATTGTTGCGATTTGTTGTTGTTGATGAAGAAGGGATGACATTTGAAAGAATTGAAGAAGGGTTGCAGTTGGTTTGAAAAAGTATTTGAGAGAGGATTTTTGTAGAGTGTTCTTGGCTCCAAGAGCTTCCTTAATGAAAAAGGAATTGCTGGTTATTTATAGGAGAGGATGAGGTCAGTTTTGGAATTGAGTTTGGAAAGATTATTATTATGTAACTGCGTAACGATTTTTGCTGCGTAATATGCTTGTTTATGGTGTGTTGTAAGTTGATATTTGTTGCTTTGTGTAATGACGTCATTGTGAATTGGTTACAGGTCATGGATTGCCATTGTGGGTCCAATCTGAAGATTTTGAAAATCTTTGTAGTGATGGTTTTGCGTTGTTGTAATTCATAATGGTAATGGGCTTAAAAAATGGTAATGGTTTTTCTTTTGTATAATTTTAAATGACAATGTACTTGTAATATGTAATTTATGTCAATGGACAATGGGCTTTGCACATTCGAAAACTTTGACTTTTTGCACCTCCATGTCTTGCTTGAACTAATGCCTTGAGTTGTCAATTGTCTTGATTAATGATCTTTATAAATAATGATGATAAACAAAGAAGCCCAAATGAAACTAAATTTTATCCAACATGCCTTTATGTATTCAAATAATATTTGAGTTTAAATAATATCCGTAATTGTCCATGATAAAATCTTTTAAACTTGAATGATAATGATTGAATCAAATCCATAAAAATCACATTCGAAACCTAATTCCTCCATCTTTGAATCTTCACTTGAAATAACAAAAATCTTGAATCAATTTCTTGAGAATTAAAATCAATCATGAATCGACCTTGGACTTTTGAACATGTTTTAAAATCAGAGGATCAGGACTTGAAATAGGAATTGCACTGCACCAAAACCTAACTAGAAAATGAGCTGGATCCTGATGATTATCAACCATGGAACACTTGAATTTAACACATCCTAAAGACTTGATTCATTCACAACTAACCTGACTTGACACATAAACCCTAACTGTAACCTCAAACACAAACACTTGAATCAATTGCGCCCATACCTCGACCTTGAAACAAACTTGTCTGACCGTTGAACCTTAATCTTCACAACAACTAGAAATAACATATCTTTTTCTGAATTTTCTGAATGATGATTATGGGTGGATGTACAAATGAAAATGATATATAAGTAGGACAAATTTGGGGTATGACACTCCCTAGATGAAGACAATTACTGAGTGCATAAAGCCTTATTTATCTTTGGTTTCCTCAATATTCTAAGTATCAAAAGTTTGTCGGAGAGTTTTCTTTCGACATGGTGTCAGGTAGCTTCTTAGGTTTACTCCTAAGACACTTTCGACTTGCTTCTTAAGGTATCTCCCCGAGGTTTCCCAAACTAATACCTTAAGATGCCAGTCGAGGTTATCTGGTTGACGTGCCATCACTGTCGAGCCGTATTTATCATTTGTTATACTTAGCATTTTACCATGTGTAAACATTGACTTGATTTTCCTCTTAGTCAGAAAATCCTAGGTCAACATAGGCTTAGGCAGTGACACCCGTCATGCCACCTCATCAGACAAACCATCAACAACTTAAAGGAAGAACACATGGAAGGAGTCCATAACGAGCAGATCGTTAGCCAGCTGACGCCCATCATGACTTACAAACCCAGACTTTCACTTCAAGCGTCATGACAGGCAAACAGTCAACACCATGACACCCAAATTCAGTTTTTCTAGAATTCTTTCAACTATTTCTCCACGATCTCAACCCTGTTTTACATGATTTTAGGACGATTTAGAGCACTTTCAAAGCTTCAATTGGCCTATATATAACATTGTAATGCATTGTAAAAACCACCCAAGCTTATTTTCAATACTATATTCACTAATTAAAGCATAAAGATAAGTGTTTATGAAACTTTATTTTTTTGCACTTGGAGCAATTATATTGTAGTCGTTTTATTTTGTTGTTGCTCTTTTATTATTTTCTACGTCGCTGTTTCAATTTATATTGTTGCACCAGATCAAAAGTCTTTATTTAGAGCAATTAATTCATGCAACTTTTTATTTTTATTCACATTCCAATTTTTTTTCTTTGCTGAATTTTATTATGTAGGCAATGTATTCATGTTTACACCATGCTTGAGTAACTTAATTGAGTCTGAAACGTGAGGATCATCATGTTGACGAAACTTGTATGAATTACATGTGTAGTAAATTGTAACGAGAATAACTTTTATGTTCTGAAAATTCTGATTTTAATTTAAAAGATTTGCTACGAATGTAAAAACACTAAAATACCGTTTTTGCGTCGAAAGAGCGAAAACGGTATTGGACTTAGAAAATTCCATTTTTTAATTAGTAATTAACGTAATAAAATTTTAATTAATTAAGAACTTATTGTTTTTGAAGAGGGAATTTTAAACTTGTAATTGCGCACTATGAAAGCAGGCTATTATAGGTTTAAAATTCGATAGCGAACACATAAAAGTGGACGAGACATCTAGTTTAGTTTTTTTTATGCAGAAATAGTTTTCTCCTTATGAATAAATGTTTAATTTGTATGAGTAACATAGGTAGACGAAAATCCACGTTCCGATGTCTCGTTATTAATATTGATTTAAATCCATTATTTTCAATTTTCGCATAAAATCAACCATTTAGTCACCTTAACTAACCATATGAACGATAGATAACGATAGTTGTAATTGATTTATGTAAATTCGACAACCTTTTATATTATAACTGATATAATCGTATTTTGGAGCCTATCATATGTCGAAATACAATAATTTAATTATGTTACCAAACACAATAGTTGAATGAGATGAAATTTTTTAAGAAGAGTTTTAAGAAACGTGATATAGGAACTTGAGTAAGAATGTTTAAGAAATTGATCATATAAAAGAAACGTCACACTTTATAGATTAATATCCAGACTAGATAACTTGTTGTCTGAATAATCACTTTTTGACATAATTTTCACACACCCTATCTCATTCTAAATACACAAATCATTGTTGATTATAGTGCTTTAAAAATTAACTTTTGAATATGACAAAAATGAACAAGTTTAAATTTCCAAAAAAATAAACACATAAAATATAATGAACAGCTCATATTTTTATAGCATATTGATCCAATATATTAAATAGGAAAAAAAACTCTAATAAAATTTTAACCTTTTCTGTTTAGAAAAAACTAGTTTTAACTTGAAATAAAATAAGTTGTAAATTTCTATTGATGAAATTTATTTGACTTTGAATCACCTTTTTTCATTTTTTTCTCTATCTCTCATTCCTCTCTATCTTTCTTAATCTCATTCTCTATTTAAAATAAAACTAATTTAGATAATACTAACTTGTGCTAAAACTAAAAGAAGAAAGGTTAAAAAATAAAAAAGAAATGTTGTGTTAGAAAGATCTTAATAAAAATATAAAATTAATTGTGTAATTGTGTTTTTTAATATAATTTTTTATAAATAAATTTAAGTTAGCATATCCAAAATAATTTTATAACAAAGGGATAGTGAAATTAAGAAAGAAATAGAGAGAAAGAGGAGGAATGAGAATGGATTAACAAGATAGATAAATAAATAAAATAAATTATTTAAGTATAAAATAATGATCGACTGAAAAGAGTTAGACTTAAAATTTCCATGTATAATCTTTCAAAGGTAGCAAATCTTTCTTAAAGAAAAAATGAAAAAAGAAAATAAGACTTGATTCAAGTCCAATTTGTTCTCACCGTAACATCTAACAATTAGCAATATTATTTAATTAAAAATATAAGAACATGTTTTTACGAATAAATATTAATATAAATATGTAAAAAACACTTGAACTCGTTTTTTTTTATAGTAATAATCACTTATTATTATTATTATTATCCTTAGACGAGCAAAGCATGATAAAAGAAAACGAGTGTGCAAGTGCCTGTCAAACTTAGCAAAAGAGTCAAACTCATCAAACCTTACCTCACCACCCCACAGACACTTTCTTCCACATGACACCACACAATGCATTCTCCTTTTTATTTAATTTTTTCACCTTAGTGCCATGATAGTGGACACTCCCCTATTAATAATAATTTATATCTTTTTTATTTTTTATTTTTTAAATTCAGAGACTTTGAAAAGAAAGCGTAATATTTTTATAGTTGTTCTATAAATTTTAAAATCGATATTATTCTGGTGAGTTTCTGAAAACCAACTCATTTAAAAAAAATAAAACTAATACTCTTTAATTTATGAGAGTGTGAGTTTGAGATAGTACTTGCCACTCCACACAATGACAAAAAATTGATCTCGAAAAATAAAACATATTTTCTTCATTCAAAAAAATAAAAAACAAAAAGCAAAAATAAATAAAAGCAGTGTCTCTCCAAAAGAAAATGACACTTGTTGTTAATCTTGCAGCACGAGTTATTTCACTATCTCTTCCTTTCCTCTTTCAAACCCTAACCATTTCTCAAAATTTTCCTCTTCCAAAACCAAAATCAAACAAAATTCTCCAAAATATCCAGTAACAACACAATAATCCGTTTTCTCATCAACACTGTAATCTCAAATGGGTGAACCAAACACGCCCCTAGGAAATGGACACTGAACTTCTTCTTCTTCTTCCTATTCTTCTGCATTGTACTTCCAATGGGAAAATCCGAAGAAGAACAACATCTTCCACGTGGCGCTACCTCATCGGATCGACCGCAGAATGCGGAAACGGAGTGTCGGCGCTGTTGTTGTTGTTCTCAGATTCAGAAACTCGTTGGTTTCAGATGCATTCTCGTTTTCCTTTTCTCTCTTGCTTTGTTCCTCTCTGCTTTGTTTTGGTTGCCGCCGTTTCTTCGCCTAGCAGATCAGAAGAATCTGCACGATGATTCCAAATATAAAGGTTCGTTTTTTTCTTCAATTTTATGCTATTTTTAGCCCTATTTTTTGGATTTGTCGGTGGCTGCATTGTTTTGTGGATATACTACTAGATCTGTTTTTGGTTTTACAAGAATGAAAGTTTAGATTTTTTTTTGTAATTTTTCGTTAATTTAAATTTTTTAATGCCTCTTAATTAGGGATAACCTTATAAATAATTTTGCTTTTGAAGTGATATTTAATTGGGTATTTTAAGAATTAATGACTCTTTTAGTTTTTTTTTACAATGGTAGTTTTGTTTATTAGCTAATTAAAGAGGTAACCTTGTTTGTCGGATCATGTTTATTTATTTATTTTTTCTATCTATTCTGGTAATTACTTTCATTGCATCTATTTTTAGTAAGGATTTGATGATTTTTATTTCACACTTTTGAAAGTTGTTTTGGGATTGCATTGTCTAGTTTTAACGTTATCTTTTTACATTTTTATACTTTTAAGATGTTTAAAAGTAATATTGGTATAAATGATAAACAAGAAATAGATTCTCTATCTCATTATAAGTTCCTATGAATAGAATGGTTTTCTTGTTTTGGAATGTGACACAAAGTTTATGACTTCTGACATGAATCAGCTGACTAGTTTATGGTCTATCTCAAATATTGCAATTGTGGTGTAGCATTAGGCTATCTAGCAAGTTGGGTTGATATTAATATAACTCCGTCTCTATTTGTAAGACCATCTTGGCTAATGCACAAGAATTAAGAAAAGTAGTATTAGGCATCGTTGAGAAGAGCTCAGCTGATAGGGACTCGGGTATAATGGGGTGCTAACGTTCAGTAGTTTGAGATGATTGATGGAGTATTTTAGTGGCTTGTTTCTTCCCCCTGATAGCAAGCTTTTAAGGGAGATTTCCCCAAGTTCTTGAATATTTATCAATTGGTATTAGAGTTGGATAGAAACATGGTTTTGGATTGAAGATTATGGCAGAATTTGTTCCTTGTAGCTGGCCACACAGTGGGATAAGACTTGGTTGTTGTTGTGGTATTAGAGTTGGTTGTTGGTGGTCTAGGAAGAGCTAAGTACAGAATAGCTGACGGGATAAGGCCAAGTAAAGCATTGTAGACATTGTAGCAGCCAATGCATTGGCTCTCTGGGGTGGTGCTATGATAGAGACTTGGGTATTATGGGGTGATCATCGAGTAGTGTGAGATGCTTGGTGGAGTATCTAACTGACCTGGTTCTACCCCAAGTGCTTGAATACTTATCAGAGTCATGGGGCAACAATGCAGTTATTGCCATGTGATTAGAAGGCCACTGATTGAGTTGTGGAAAGTAAGGCTGTGTACAATAGATAGACAATGATATTGGATCTGGCCTTTCCTGGACCTCGTATGGTGGGAGCTGTGATTGAGCTGGGAATGTGACATCAAACTTAAATCCTGTAATCTTACAATTTTAAGCCTTTATGCTTGATGAGAAATTTTTTCAATATTATGCCATTGAATTGCCGCAGCATTGTGATACCATATGCTCGGCCACTAGTTAGCACTCATTGTTATTCCATTCAGTAGCGTCCAGACGGGCACTGCACTCCCGTGCCCGTCTGTCCGCTTTTATTAATGCACAAACGGGTCAAAATATGAACAGTATTTTTTGTATATTTATTTTTTATTTTAATTAAATTATTTATAAAATAATTTAAAAAATAGTAGAATTAAAGAGATGTCAAACCACCATATAGCGGTTAATAAAAGAGAAGTTGAGATTTAATAAAAGAACAGAAAAGGGTATAATTGAAAGAAAAAAAGGCTACACCAAAAATAAGTTTTGCCTTTATATATAGTTATAGATTACAAAACTTCTACCCCATATATGTCTGTTGAACTCAACACCCTTTTTAACCATTGGAGATTCCGAATGTCCAACTGCCACACAATTTCTCTTACAAATTTAGGGAGTAGCAAACATATTATAACTTGAAAATGATTGCTTGAAGAATGACAAGAGTGTAAGTGAGGAAATGAAATGGCAATATTAAGTGGTGTAACATTGGATTACAAAAAGGAGTTGTGGAGGTAGGGACAATCAACAAGGGGCAACTGGAAATTTGGTTTTTCACTTTCAATATTGAATGAAGATGTTGGTAATTGGGATAGTTGTAGTTCCTTAATAATATGCATCTTTGCGTTGTGCCTTTGCATAACATTATACTTTAAATCTCATTATTCAATTTCTATTCCGTTCTCTAGAAAGAAAAAAAATTCCGTATCTCCTGACATTTTGTCAGCACCAAATTTAAAATATTTTGCTGAATTTGCTTCTTGCCATGCTCCTATATGTCTCATTTTATGAATAAATTTTGACCAGTTGTAGTGTTAAAGCTCTATCACGTAGTTGTATATTGACAGTTTGCCACACCACTAAAATAGGTTGGCTATACCAACAAATACTGACAAAATCAAACTCTTTTAATAATAATGACAATTTATAAAATCTATTTGCTCAATGATAATTTTATTAATTTTGCAGGTCATGATATTGTTGCAAGCTTTATTGTTAATAAGCCTGTCACTGTGCTAGAAGATTACAAATTGCAGCTCGCACGGGAAATTTTTGATGAGATAGAAGCTCCCTCTACTACAACAGTACACCTCTCTCTTAGTAGTTTCCTTTAATCCCTATCTTAATATTCACATATTGATGTCATTATCTTTTTTTCTTTAAAAAAATTCAGGTAAACATCTTGTCTCTAGACCAGTTACCTCGGCCAAACACGACAAAAGTGGTATTTGCAGTCGATCCTAATGGTGGTGAATACTCAGAAGCGTCTTCTCCCGCCATAAGTTTGATAAGATCATTATTTACGTCTCTGGTAATACACCAATCAGTTCTCCAGCTCACTTCATCCTTATTTGGAGATCCTTTCTTTTTTGAAGTGCTGAAATTTAAAGGAGGAATTACTATAATTCCACAACAGAATGCATTTCCTTTGCAGAAAGTGCAAACAAAATTCAACTTTTCTTTGAATTTTCCCATTTATCAAATACAAATAAATTTCAATGAGCTGACAAATCAGCTAAAGTCTGGATTACATCTGACATCCTATGAGGTTTGTCAAACTTTCTTTTCTTACTGTTTCTATGAATTGTTCTTGATGGTAATCATTTTACTCTTGCGTAATATACCACTTATTGTTATTGGGACTTCTAGAAGATTTCTGATAAACATGTTAATTATAGGCTATGCGATGCTGATATTGATTGGGTTTATTGGTTGGTTGCAGAACTTGCATGTCGTCTTATCAAATTCTGAAGGTTCAACAGTAGATGCTCCCACGATTATTCAATCCTCAGTTCTACTTGCGGTTGGGATTCCTCCATCCAAGCGGAGGCTAAAGCAATTGGCCCAAACCATCATGGGACCTCATAATCTTGGCTTGAATAACACTGAATTTGGTAGGGTTAAGCAAGTCAGACTTTCAACCATCTTGCAGCACTCCCTTAACGGCAGTGATACTGGCTCCGCGAGATCACCTGCTCCTGCTCCAGTGCCTCATTCCTCGCACCATCACCACCACCACCACCACCACCATCACCATCACCACCATCACGATACCCATCTAACTCCTGTAACTTCTCCTATACCTGCACCCACACCTGCACCTAATCCTTGGGAGGGTGTAACTACACCTGGAGTTGGTTCTCCGGCATCTACAAAAAGTGCACCTACACCTCAGAAAAGTTCTCAAGCTCATCCTCCTGACTGTCCATTTGAGCGTAGAAAAAGGTCTACACGTAATGCTGGGAGACATACTTATCTAACACCTTCCATTGCCCCTAGCATTGAACATCATCACCATGTTCCTATTTCATCACCAAAACCCCAGGTTGAACCCCCTACGCATGCCTCTAATTCAGTACCTGCTTTGAGTCCTTTGCCAAATGTAGCTTTTGCTCATGCTGAGCCTCCACCTAAGAGCGGACCTGCTCCAGAACAACCGCACACACAGTTTCATGGGTCACCAATATCACCATGTGAGTAAGCTTAATATAATAACAGTAGTTTTTTGTTCAATGCTAATGCTTTATTACTTGTCAGTTGTAATTTAGAGACAACTTACTTTACAATTTTTTTGAGCTTGCACTTAAAACATTCACGATCTTGAACTTTAAGTGATATTAAAACTGGTTGTGGATAGTGGTTACTCAGTTTATGAACGAATCTATATGTAATGAATAAATTTATAAGTAGTTAGCCTAATGAAGTTCGGTTTAATGGGAAGTTAAAAAGGAAGAACCTCACATTTTTTGTGGACCCGTAATCAAAACATTCCACTAAAAAGTTCTCTCATCTTTACGAACATGCAGGTTGCTTTATCATTTTATTTCTTCTAGTTGTTTTTCTTTCTTCCATTACAAGTAGCCTTGAAGACTAAACCCTAGTCAAAAACCTCCAAAGGGTTACCAAAACTTGAGTTAAAAAGTCAAGTTCCAATTTAGTACTCCTTATAACAATTTTATATTCATTCTCATATTTGAGTACATTTTTCTTTTTTGTTCTCATGTATTATTATTTCTTGTGCACTGATATGTTGTTTTTTTGCAGCTTCTGCAGGCTGTCTTGGATCTGTTAAATGGACATCTTTAATATTTCTTGTACTTTTGTTACATGTGTGACAAAGTGCTAAACTTGTACCATTTAAAAAGATAAAACTAGATTACTATGAATGTGAGCTACGCAAAGTGTGAGCTACACATGTATGAGTGGATATAAGTTGTCATCATTCGTGTAAATAGTTGATTAAAAATATCCAGATGGTGTATGTATCCATTTTCAGGTCAAAGTCCATAAGTGGCAGGCCTTGATTACATGCATTACCTTTGTTTTGTTATGTAAGATGGAAAAAAAAGAGAGAAGAAAAGAAACAATTTTCTTTTAGTTTCTAATCCTTTCAATAAATTTCTATGTATGGTTCTATTAGCCAGGTAAAAAGTTAATGTTGAAGAAAAATGTTTCACCATGGCAATGATGGCAATTGAAATCACGGTTTTTTCTTTGCAATGTTATTGCTTCTAGTTCATCTCTTCCCCTGTTTTTCTATCTTCACGATCACGAGCTAAATAGCCAACTTGTATAACCATTGCCAAAGAACATACTTTTTCTAGTGTCTATTTTGGAAATCACTATTTTTTTTTGGCAGTCTTTCAGAATTTTATCCCTTAATAAATGGGGTGTTGTCATATTTGTATTCATGCTCATTGAATGTTCATGCAGCTACTAATAGAGTTGAATTTGATTGTTATTTTTTTAAAATTTTAAATGGGTTAAATATAATATGGGCGAGTTTTGGTTTATCCTGTAAATTTTTTATTTTTGGATCTCTTGTATGTCTTTTGTCTCTTAAGCATCGAAGTTATTCTCTCTAATATTTTCTTTTGTTTATTTTTCATGTTCAAATTGCACGTTTAAAAAGTAAAACAAAAAAAAAATTACAAAGAGAATTCAACAAAAAAAATATATTACAGGGAGAATTCAATTTTTTATAGGAATAAATTGAAATTTCAATTTTTTTCAAATAAATATTCAAACTAATTCAATTTTTTTCAAATAAATATTTAAACTAATCCAATTTCTTGATATTTTTTAAATTAATTTATTTTTAAGTAAGAAAAATTTCAAACACAAAAGAAATCAATCAAATTAACATATTGTATAAGACGATACGACAATCTAATTGGCAATAATACATGAACATAGAGAAGAGAGACCATGTAAAAAAAATTTCAACACAAATGAGGCATTGAATTATTCAAAATAGAGGATTTTTTGAATTATTTCGAAGTTTTTGCACATAAATGAAAGTAGTTACTTTTGTTATTTTAGGTGGTTTATTTATGAAGCATGGTACTATAGTAGCTCCCACCTTTCATGTGAAGGGTGTCGTAAAATACACATATCTCTGCTCGTGAAGAATAATATAAAAAATAAAAAAATATTTACTCTTAATTTTGAAAAGATATGACACCGAGGCGAAAAGATCCTGTCATGTGAATTGCCTCTGACTTTTGAATGAAGCCACCTTTCAATGCGTAATGGGATGAGGTAATGCCCACTTGTTCCGAAATCACGGATAATTCTATGTAATTGTAGATTGAGGTGAAATAATTGTAATTGTAGATTGAGGTGAAATAATTTAATAAGGAAATAAAACTGAGTATATTATTTTTAAAACTTTCAATTTATTTTACATATATTAAGGTTCTGATTTGTAAAAATAATGGTTGAGGGATAAACTAATTGATAGATTAAAGACGTCTCTTCATCAAGTCCATACGCTATACACGGTGGCGACTAATGTTAAGGGCTAATGTGTGAGTCCTCATTATTTCTCTATGGCAATTTTTTCCCACCTTGATGGGGTGGGTGACACTTTTGATAATTAAAAAATATCTTTAGATTTTTTCGAAGATTCATATTCAAACGTACAAAATTTTATTTTTGCGAAAATTTAGTTTGGAGATATATTTGCGAATATTTTTAAGGTGAATTTAAGATGTATTTCTGAAATCTTCTTTGCATGTTTTTTTTTACAGAAACATTATCTTAAGTTTGTATTTTTTTTGAATTCAAAGTCATTTTAATTTGACTAATATTGACATTATTTGACTCAAACATTAGCAAACACAAATATTATTGAACAAGGTAATGCGTTTATTAAAAAGTCATCCAATTGTATTACAAACATTGTTCTAAAACTATAGAAAAAATACAAAAACATTTCAAAATACAAATAAAAGCATATTGTACTGCGTATGTCTAATCCTAACCCCTTGACTCTTCCTCTACCGTAGGTAAGCCAAGACATTATGTGTCTCGGTAAGAACGAAATGTGCTAGGGCAATGCCATCATCCCCACATCTCTCAAACAACCCAGACTCTATGCCCTCCAACGTAATCCGCATAATATTCTGACATATCGACAACTCATCAATGACATGTTCATTCCTAGTCTGCTCATTCTCTAGGATCTCCTCATGAGCAAGTCTAGGTGGACGTCCATGAGCGTTTGGTGTCATGACAGGGTGTGAGACACTATAGAACAAAGTCATGTAACCGTCCACATAAGACCACTGACTTGTGGCTGACATACTACGATATTCCTCTGATATCATATGGCTCTCGTAGTCCGCCAGTATGTCATCAAGATGCCTACGGATTATGCTGTTAGGAGAAGACACAAAGGGGGATCTCATAATGATCTACACATATTCAAACTAACGCATGCATCACTCCAGAAGATACCTGCACATCAGATTCGTCCCACATGCCAGCTATCCGAAGTAATATGAAATGGGGTCGAAGGGAACAGTGTCCCGATGAATGATGTATGGTATCCAGTCGATGTCATCACGCCGATTCTTGTGAATATACACACGAAGCGGCTGCTCAACATCATTCCCTCTCTACGGGAAATATAGGCAAGCACGTGGCAAATCCTTAGTATACTTTAGCACACAATCAAACCCATGTATGCAGTGAAAGTGAGATAAGATTCATCCCTGAACTAGAATAAGAAAAAAGTATTAGTAACAAGTGTAAAAAAAGTGGTTTTAATACTAATAGTGGCTATGGAAATTATCGTCAGTAGGGTGCATGAGTCTGTCATTTGCTTTGTCTTCCAAAGAGAACCTTCGCTCAACTTGGAGTACAAATATACCAAATAGGCAGCTCCCTAATTCCCCTCGTGAATAACCGACAAGTTGATAAAATACTTAAGGTATGCCACATCGACGTAAGTTGCACTTTTGTCCGAAAAATGGATATACTGTTCAAACTGCAGTATAGCAGCAAAAAGCAAAAGATTTGGAAGAATTCTCTTCAGGTTTTTATCATTCTCCACAAGGATCGGTGCGAGGGAAAGAATTTCATTCAACAATCTCTATCTTTCTAAGTTTGGATTTAAATGGTTTGAATGAGTAAAGTGCACAAAGTAAAAGATATTAACAAGTAAATAATGCATTCTTTAGAGAGGAGAGAACTCGCCAGAAATTGTATTTCATATACCATCAAATACTAGAAAATATATCAATCAACTATATACAACCTAAATCACTCGTAAATATCACCACGTATCACTTACAATAGAGGTTATGTCTAACGCAAAGTTGAGAGAACAATTGTATCGTCTCATAGGTGATGTATCACGTGTAACGCCCCGATTCTGATTTTCTATTTTTGTTGAGTCTTTTTATTTATTTGGTTGATTATTATTTTATTTGTGGAATTTGAATATTAATATGTTATGTGTGCATATTATGCTATTTTACCGATTTTGAGAGTTTTAGGGGAAAATAGATTGGAGGGTATTTTAGACATTTAGTATTTAATGTTAAGTTGGATATTTTGTGAGAAAATAGATTAATAGATGTTTTGAGAGAAATAGAATAGAAAGAGATATAAGTGGGAAAGAGAAGAGAAAAGGAGAAGGATAAAAATAGAAAGAAGAGAAAAGGAAGAGAAAGAAAGAGGAAGAAGAGAGAAGAGGAGAAAAGAGGAAAACTTGGAGAATCATCAAGATCAATATCTAGGATTCGAATTAATCGGGTAAGGGTGTGAAATCTTATTATTCCATCAATGTGTGTGATTATGTATGTGTGTGTTTGGATTGTTTGGATGTTTTCCATCTTTTTCCATTCTAGGTCAGAAATGGTTGGTAGGAATAGATGATTTAACGGTTAGAATCCGGAATTAATGGTGTAGTTTAGTCGAGGAATGTTAGGCTAAGACTATTGTAACTTATTGGAATTGAATCGGGTGATTTCGGGAGTTTTTGAGGTTTTTGAACAGTTGGGGTTTTGGAGTACGCAGACGCTCGCTAGCACGTTCGCTAGGCGAGCAGGGTGGCGAGTGTTCGCTAAGCGAGCTGCCAGCGAACATCCCCAGACTTGGGCAGAATGGAAATGATCCTTTTCGCTAGTAGCGAGTGATGTAGCGAGTTGTTCGCTAGGCGAGGCTCCAGCGAGCCAGTAGCGAATCCTTCCAGTAGCTTCTGTTTGTGTTCGCGAGCTTGTTCGCTAGGCGAACCAGCAACGAATATTCGCTAGGACCTCGCTAGGCAAGTGGTCCAGCGAGTGTGATAGTGTTTGGTTTTCTGTTGTTCCATCCTGTATCGATTCTTGGGTTCGGTTGCGATCGACCTCTTCTTGAATGAGTAACTTGTATACTGTTGTATGATATACTGTGGGTAGCCGTATAGCGTGAATCCTAGATTGTGGAATCGATTGTGAAATGTGGCCTTTTGGCAAATTTATGCATTGTTTAAATTGATTAAAATGCATGATGATTGTGATGGAGTTCGTTGCCGTTTGGCGCGATATAGTGAATGCATATTGATTGTATGCGATTGTATGTGAAGAATGCATGAGTATATTTGTGAATATGTATTCATTTCAAGAGTGTCATGAGTCATTTTGCATGTGAAGCATCATGATGTGCATTCTTGTGTGGATTGATCCCTAGGAGGATCTGCAGAATGATTGTGTGCCCATGTGCGGTGTGAGCAATTCATTAATATCGTGTGCCCATGTGGGGTGTGAACGATGGTTTACAATTGATTCCGAGGAGAATCTGCAGAATGATTGTGTGCCCATGTGGGGTGTGAGCAATCGAATTATGT